GGATATGTGGCGTGCTAAGTATTTGAAGAATACATTTTGTCGTGCAGCACTCATGTCGTGTCTTTGCGATAGAAGTTATGTCACGTATAAGGAAAGCCTGCAGAAGTTTGTACAATACAAGCAACGATGCGTATAACTGACGTAGCACACCTGTCGGTGGGAGTTTTTGCCATGGAACTAATGTTGTGATATCGCAAAATGTCGTTGGTTCGGAAACAATACGATTGTTTTTGCAGAACAGGAGACGGTTTTTCCCAAGACCATGTCACGTCAGAAGAATGCATGGTGTTGTTTAAGGATCCGTTGTGGTTTTATCTTCTTGTGAAGTACTGAGAAACTGCTAACGGTAGTTTTACTATATCCGTTTTACATCTTGTTCAGGAACCTGAGAAGCGCAACGGCCTTTTCAGAAACTTCTTCAAAAACGAGCCCTATATGATATACAAAAAGTGTTGTCATATTTAAATAGGAACAAACAGCTTTGAGTCTTCTAAAAGAAAGCGCCAGCGCCTGTCTTCTGAAAGCAGGTTCAGTGTTCTAAACTGCATGTTAATGGACGTACAATGTATGACATATTTGCGCGAAAGGTCAGCAATGAGCCCCATAGCAACCTCAGCCCATCGCTTTGTTTATTTACGCTCCGGGACACTTGTCCTTGTCAACGGAATTTCAAGGATGCGTCTGGCCGTTTATACCAGGGGGAAGGGTCTGATAAGGTATAAGGCGAGATGACATCCTATTTGCTCGCTAACATCAGCAAAGGGACTTCGTTCCGTCCATCAAGCAACCCCGGAATGCTTATGTGTGGGGCTTGCCGGTGCACTGCTCAATTCATTTCACATATTGCTTGATACAGAAATATTGGGATATTTGCCAAAAGAATCTGGTTAAAAAAATACAAAGGACATGCACCCAACCACGCCAATGACTTTTGGGTACTCACACACATGCACATGTGGGCTTGATGAAGATAATGGATTCATGGTTTATGCATTATGGCAAATATTTTAGCGTGCGTTACACCGGTATATTATAACTGCGTACTAATACGCTAGAGCATTTTCTGGGAGCAGGGACGCAAGAGACTAACATTCGCCTTGCCAGTTTTTTGCCTTCATGAATGTGCATGTGAATAAATGTCATACCCTCATTAATTTGCGTATGATTAAATGTCAACAGTTAAAGATGTCGGAGCAAAGCTAGCAAATAAGTAGATTGGACCAAGTTTTTGTAGTAGTTTTAAGGTCTTCTTTTTTGGACATCAAGAAATATTGTGTGCGCTCGCGACACGCCAAAAATGTTGAAAAGATGTATTTTACCCACATGACAAAGTCTTGTGCACACCTCTTGTTAAACATGGTTTATAAGTGTATACACATGCATTGCATGTATGCATTGGCCACTCATCGCAACTGCCTCGTTTTAGTCTTCCTCAACTGACAATCATCATCACCTATCTAACCATCTTCAAAGCATTCATCACAAAGCAGTCACTTGCCATGCCTTAATCCTTCGCGCATCGATAGGGAAAGCCACTTACGTGTGCAATCACAGCTTGATGCTTTGGGAGTAGTGAATCATCGTGATATTTCTTGTCCTTTTGGGTTTTTTTTGTTTTTTTGTTTTTTTGCTGGAACAGGCAGAAAGCTTTGACATCAGACAGCTTTGCAGCACCACTGATTCTCGGATGGCAACTGTTCTCTGCGCGTATTGTTTTCGGTCGCCACACGGTGAACTAAAGCGTTATCATGGTGGGAGCATCGTTATGGCATAATCACTTCTGAAGGAGTCCGGGCTAAGGCTAAAGCCTTACATAAATATCACAGTATAAATGCAGAACTTTGGGCTGAAGGACCCGAACTGCATCAAAAAAATTAGTACCCTTTCTACGCACACGTCCAAACAAAAATAATCGTTTGGTAGATCCCATTCATCTGAGGACGTGCGTTTTTTTTTATCTCGAAATAGGTGATGAAGAAAGCCCAGAGCGAAATATGATTTTTGAGCGTTGAATTAGTCAGACAAGCCGGGTTTTATGATGCCTTCCCAAAATTGCGACTCTTTCTTTCTGACTGATAATTCTAGGCATCATTTGAAGTGGGCACGAGGACGCCGCCGTTTCCTGTTATCACCATGATTACGTCAGTTGCTGACGGATGTATTCCACACATGCGGTGCGATGCGTCGTCCACGTATCTATCGACCGCCGTCCCCGCGCAGCCGATACCAACATTGATCGGCGTCAGAGCCATTCGCGGTCGATTGACTCAGGCGCCTGCTTCTAGTACGTGGCAAGTAACCCGTACCTGGTTCTGAGTCTCAGATCAGCTGACTGTTTGAACCGGCAGATGTCAGATGACGGGGAGGGGGGGGGGACGTGAGGGTCTCCCCGGCTGGATAGCGTGCCCGCGCCGAAGTACTGAATGATATGTGAAATATTCCTTAGACAGCGCAGGTAAATCATTTGTCTGGCTGGGCAAATCGGCATTCTGCGAACAGTAGCTACGACATGAGTAAAAAGTTGGTCGACTCGAAACCTACGCATTCGATACATTCACCAAAATTGCATATTTCGCGACTTATTCGAGACATTCTACGCATTCGCCATACAATGCACACACTTCCGAATGTGACAAGTGTGCCAGATGTTTCAAATCGGCTGAGAACGATTCGCGACGAATGCATCGAATGTCTCGAACGGCCGCCCGTTACACCAATCTTGTTGAATGAATTAAATGTGCCGAAGGTCTCAAATCGACCGCTAACCATACACGTGAACATGTCGAGTGTGACGAATGGTTCGAATCGATTTCTAAGTTTACCATATGGCCGAATCCATTAAATGTGTCGGATGTCTTGAACCGACTACCAATCTTTCGCTCGCAATTTCCGTAAACCGCTCGGATTAAATAAACACACCTGGGCGTGGGGTGGGTTTGACTGCACTGAAGGTTCTCCAATCCAACCCCGAACGGCGGGGCGCAGCTGCGCCAAACCGTTTAAGTGCTGGGAAATTGAACTGCCGGTCTCTTGCTATCAAGACATTCGATGTACCTTGTAAGGTTGCTGACCTGTGGCCGGCCAAAGCCAGGCTATCGCCGTCAGCAAAGGTGATTCCTGGGGTGTCGTTCAATCTGATGTAACAACGGGTGTCAAACAAGGCTAGACATACTTGATATGGTCGCTGAATGATTAAACAGTTGTTGAAGATCGCGACCAATTCCGTTGGCCTTGGGTCAGGAGTAAAGGTTAAACCAAGGTCAAAACCATATCGCTCTCTTGCTGAACAATTTGCTTGTGAGGAAGTTTTTGAGGTTCATTTCTAATGTATTGATCACAGGGATGTCAACAGACATCTTATTTTAACTTTATGACGGTTAAAGTAGGATACTGGCCTAAAGTGACCCATGAAACCTTGTTTAAAGAGCACACTGCCTATCTAGTCCTTGGCGCTTTTTCGTCCCTGAAACTAGTACCGTTCGCGGAAGGCCTCTCGCAGTCATGGCTTTCTGGTCGCCGTTGTTGGCCGCCGTGGCTGCCGGCACATGCTCCAACGTGCTGACGCCCTCGAAATACTTACTCAGTGTGAATCGTTAGCTTGGAATGGCTGAGAGCCACGCGGTCGACGCATGAACAGTTAGTACAGGTAGTTCTATCTTACGAGGGAACGCACAAATCACTGTACATGAGTTTGGTTTTGTCTGGCTTAACTTGATATGTCCACTGTTCTTCTGGTATGGGTAGTTCTATTTTACAAGGGAAAGCACAGATCACCGTACATGAGTTTGGTTTTGTCTGACTTATCTTGGTGTGTCCACTGCTCTTCTGGCAGATAGTTCTATTACAAGGGAAAGCACAAATCACTGTACATGAGTTTGATTTTGTCTGACGCAAATGAATATGTCCACTGCTCGTCTGCTACAACATGCGGCAAATTGACTAATGAATCGCAGCTTTACGAGAGAGAACCACATGGCCGGTGCCTGAAAGCTCACTGCATTCAGTTACATGAAACGCCTATTTTCTCCGATGACGCTGATTTGAGTCAAATACTACGAATCGCGTCCACATATCCACATTTCAACCCATTCCCTTCCGAATACATCAAGCCATCCTGTCATTTAATGCAGCACACCGTCTGACATAAACGTATATTGATGAGCCTTCGCGTTAGATGACAAAACATTAACGAATGCCGCCGCAGCATTTTTCGAGCAATATAACTCGAACATCGAGAGACAGCTCGCACACTCGACTTACACCAACTGACATCCACCGTTCGCTCTAACGTCGCAAAAAATGTGCCAAGGTCACGGTCCACCTCAGAACGCATGTTTACACAGAAATGAGGGGGCCGGGGGCTCTGGACGCAGGACGCACACCAGCTGTGACCACCCAGCGACGAGCACGGGTCTGGAGCCGACGGGGCGGTACATTGAAATCTCTGTTGGCCAGCAACGTAGATAAAGCATGACGACACGCACCACGGCAGCGGCGCCTCTGCAGCCTGGTGTCAGGGACAGAAACGGCACCAGCATCAAAGCGGACCGGAAACCCACATGGATGGATCACGAGCTGCCGGAACCCTGCCGGAACAGTTCCGTTCCATGGTACGAAACAGGACAGGGATGTAGCGACAGACGCCATGACCGAGTACCCGGCAGGACCGATCACACACAAGCATATGCTACCGTGTCAGAGCCACCCGACAGCGAGCGTGCCTCGGGGAGCGCCACTCCGCGGCGCCACACGCCGCAACGGGGCCGACCGCGCACCTCTGAGCGACCGGCGGCCGGCGGCGGTCGTCCCCACAGCGGCTCACACCAGCCACACTCGACCCGGCTGCCGGCTCTCTGCCGGACACCCACCCCGGCTGTTCACCGCGATGAGCACCCCGGCACGCCGGCCAGCGCCACCTCTCGGCCTCGCCGTCCGTCACCGCCAGGCGCCACCTCTCGTCGCGCGCCAACGGTCGCCGCCACCTCTCGCCCATCACCGGCAGGGCGAGGCGTCGCCGCCGCCGCTGCCCTGCACCACTGCCAGGAACTGGTTCAGGAAGAACACGTCGCAGTCATCCTCCCGACACATGTCGCGCACCGGCTTCGTGCTGCCGTACGGGTTCTTGGCCGGCTCGAGCCTGCGTGCGCAGGTCCGGCACGGCGCGCTCCAGCTGCGCCAGGTCCCGGTCCAGCTCTGTACGCGTGTACGCCGTCAGGATCAGAGGCACGTCGTCGTGGCGCACGAGGAACGGCAGCGACTCGCGCCACGTGTCCTCCTCGCGCTCGGCAAACTCGTGGATGCCCGAGTTGAAGCAGACGACGACGTCGGGTCGCGTCCAGTGCGGTCCGCGGCAGTAGGCGTGGTAGGTGGTCGGTCGCATCTCGTGCACCACGTCGCGCTGGCGGCGCGTGCAATCCTCGCAGCGCGTGGCGCCCGAGTCCTCGACGGCGCCGGCCATGTCGCGACCGCAGCCGCGGAACAGCTCCGGACCGACGAACACCAGACGGATGGCCCTCAGCGCCGGCAGTCGGTGCACCAGGTACTCCCACTTGATGATGCCGAGACACTCGACCAGCATCTGGGCGCCGACCACGTGCACGGTGAGCCGCTCCAGCTCCTGGACGGGCCGGCCGGCCGGCAGCCGCTGCAGCGCAGTGCAGTACCGTCAGCGGGAAGCTGAGCCGCTCGGTCAGGAACGCGATCAGCACCGGGTCGACGTAGGCGCCGTCGGGCACCGCCTCGCGCTCCGCCAGTATCTGCGAGCTGAGCATGGTGACGATGTCGGCCGGCAGCGGGGCGTACTGCTCGTCGACGTCCGGCAGGATGGGCGGGTCGGCCAGGCCTAGGCGCGCCTCGTAGCGGTCGCAGGCGAGCGCCAGCCGCAGCGACTCGCACCAGCGGCCGTGTCGCGTCGCGTCCTGCGCCGCGTGCTCGGCGCCACAATAGATGGCCGAGTGGCAGCGCCGGCACTCGATCTGCTCGGCCGGCCGGAAGCGGTGGCAGCACTCGCATACCGGCGGGAAGAACAGCATCTCCTTCTCGTGCTGGCGCAGCTCGCGGCCCAGCATGAGGCGCAGCGCCAGCGTCTGGCTGGCGCGGTGACGCAGCCACTCCTGCCCGTCCACGATGCCGGCGCCGTCCGCCAGCACCGAGCTGCCGTCGTCGTTGCGCAACCTGCAGACGGCGACCGCAGACGTTACCATCAATGTGGACAAATGGTGATACACGACAGCCAGGCGCACCGCAATCGCGGAGAGCGTACCGCTGGCAAACGCGGGCTTCATGCGCTGACTGATTTGCTGACAGCTCATTGACTATAACTCTGAAAAGGTCGCTGCTTCACAGCGACAGGTAAAATGCCGAGCTCGAAAGGCCTTACATACACCATGCCTCTATTGTGTGAATTGAACACTATAAGCTGCATGCCAAGTTCAAACTTAACCCATGTCAGGAACGACGACACGACCATGAACATATCAGGGGTCGATCCGCACCACTGCATGCCAACTTTGACACTGGAAAGACATCACTGCTTGGAACACAATGTTATGGTGGAATTTATTAATACGCCCCAACCACGTTTGGCATCAGTTTGATATGGCCTGCCACCTCACTTTTTGCAGATGGTCTTGTGGAGAGGCCAGTCGAGCTTCTGGTGCTCCTTGCTGCAGTACTTGATCATGCGGCAGTTGGCACAGCGGCTGAGGCTGCCGCCGGGCGGCGGCGTGGCCTTGCAGACGAAGCAAGCGCCGGGATAGTAGTGCGGTGGAACATCCAGCACCTCACCACCACCACCGCCGCCGCCCTCCTCCGCGACCTCCGCCGACATGGTGCTCCTACGGAAACACTGTGGGGCACCCCAAGGACACTGCCCAGTCAGACCATGTGCTCACCCATCAGACCTGACGAACAGGAACGCTGAGCACGGTCTGTCCGACCGACTCAGGTCAGGTGGATGATGGTCATCAGAGCTTAATGGCGCGCCGACCGACTGACTCGGGTCAGGTCGTCTGACCAACTGACTTGGGTCAGGTGGGTGATGGTGATCGGAGCTTAATGGCGCGCCGACTGCGAAGTAATTTTGTCGCCCCTAGTTGTTGGATCTTTTAACACTTAACTGTGCAAGTTGCTACCTTACATGACTTTTACGTTGATGGAATGATTTACAATGTCTGTAGAATGTAAAGAACCCAATGTGTTGAGAGATAAGATACCTTAACTCACTGGCAAATGAAAGTGGAAATGAAATCCTCCACTGAGTTTTTATATTTGGCCCTGTTTGAGCAGCTAGCCATGCTAACAGGAAAATCCTAATCTTATAGATTTGGGTCAAAAAGTGTGAACAGCACATTCTTCTGGATGACAAATTCAGTCTATGCTACTTATCCCGCATTAAATGGAACAAAGTCACATTCTATACACAAAGAAAAGACACCAGATTGAGCAGTATGACAAGGTGGGATCAAAATAATGCATGGATTAGAGCATACATAATCACAACTTGTAACAGATTCAAATGGATCCTGGTTATATAGTCACTTTGATAAGTTTTCATCTAACTTTTTTACTTTCACTGACAGAAACATCTTAAGGTAATAAATTATGCCAACATTAGAAACTTCAGCAAAGGATGCATTCTTTTACTTGCATGTACACCAAATACTTTCTACAGGTAGCAATGGCCTGAATTGCTCAATAGGGAGAAAGCAAGCTTTGCAGAGCTACAGGCTACAAGCTACATGCATGCCAAGCTCTACCCATTATCCTATACAGGTAATGATAATTAGGTCATGGGTGGAATGGTGTTTCATCAACAAAAAGGTTTTAATTTCACTCACAAAATGTTGTGGCCTTCCTTCATATTTTACTAAAACTTGTAGTCCAGTCTGCACTTTTAGCTAACACATTTCTGCAAATTTTATCTGAACACAAAATGACCACCATAAAGTTGAGTATAATGCCATGTTTATGGCAGCACTTTGTACTGTCCCCCCATATTTACTACCCTGGGCAATTGCATAATCTGACTTTTCCCTGACTCTCCATGGGATTGTAATTCTGGTGGCTCTCGAACCACAGAGGCAACCAAAACATTTGCTTTAATTTTCCAAATTATCTGAAATGGAGTCGACTTAGTAAGAAACAGACCCAGAATCAAACCATGTCTCCTTGTCACACTGTCAGCTCACATTGAGCTAAGCTTCTGCAAATCAGTTAGTATCAATCCTATGCATTATGAGGTATTCTTGAATTAAATTTGGCTGCATCCAAGTCATGAGGCACAACTCATAGCATAGTCAATCTGTGTGCTCAAGTGCATCTCAAATAGCAACAAGTATTCCCAATGCTTTGCATATATTCATCTGCACATTTACAGCATTTTCCTCATTCTCTAAAAACAAACTTAAAGTTTTTAGTCACCCTATGCCCAGGAAGAATGTGTTGATGCCCACTGGCCTAACTATTTGTTAGAATCACCCAAAAAACTGTTTTCTCATGTTATTCTGCACTCTTCCACAAAAATCAAACTAACTTGTCTATTGTTAGGATTCCCACAACAAGGGTTGAAAGCTTTACTCAGGTACGCTGATGCACCCCAACTGAGCCTGTAATAAAACCAAAGACGTGCTACTTCCAGCTGAAAATCCCATCAACCAAATGGCAGCGAACAAATTTTAAAAACCAGGAATACGTGCCAGTTTAGTTCCCGGGATCGTCCACATGTAGGCATTCCACATGCAACAGACACGAGGGAGGCTTTCCTTGGAACTTATAATGCTTACCTATGCTTCTTAAAGTGCGGATGCCAATATTTACACTAAACACCGATATCATGAAATTGGTCGCATATTAAATACTACTCTCGAGGAAACCGAACCACCGGCTGTAAGCGGCGCAGGAAACACGGAAGACCGCCCGTGCAACCCAAGGTTGTGTTTAATACGAAGGTCAATGCACGCTGTTCAACATTTTATGGAAACATCGCTGCACTGCTTACTCCATGCGGCGTAATCCTTACCTTACCTTATGGTGATCGGGAATTTTAAAAGGCCACTAGGCCTGTAGGTCCCGGTCTCATCAGGCTCCCGGTCCGGGTAACCTAACAGCCCCAAATTATGGGTAGATTTAGTGCGGGACGTCATACATGATGTCAGCCAAGCGCATACCGAGCCTGGACTTGAGCTGTTCAACTGAGGTTGACGACACGACCGGGTGTGGAAGAGCGTTCCAGTCGTTGGGAACCTGCGTTCCGAACGAGTTACGAGGGACGTGAGTCCTAGCTCGAGGTTTTCTGAGCTTCCATTGGTGTCCTCTTGTCACCTCCGAGTTGCGCTTTGTCAGGAACTCCTCTTCCGACAGCGACATACCTTCGTTGAAACAGCTGGTACACTGTTACCATGTCTCCTCTGCGACGACGGTAGTATAGCGAGGGCAACTGAAGGAGTCTGAGCCTCTCAGGGTGTGGCTGTCGCATCACTTCAAAAACAAGCCGGGCGGCCCGTCGCTGAACCCGCTCCAGCCGCTTTCCTGGTCCAGTTTGCCGAACGGGCCCCAGATTACGGACGTACTAAGATCTTAAAGAGCAATGGCAACGTGCGAGCATCGATGTTGGCAAAAGACCGCCTCACGACCGCCAGCATCTGGTTGACCTTGGAGCCGTCTGCACGTGGAACTTGAGCCGGTAATCCACGAAGATCCCGAGGTCCTTCTCGGTGGACTCGGCCGCGATTTCGGCGCCGTCCAAGAAGTACGTCAGCCTCGGGTTGCAGTTCCCGATGTGCATTATTTTGCACTTCGCTGCACTGAAGGGAAGCAGCCACTCCCTTGATCACTTGGCCAGGGCGTCGAGGTCAACCAGCAGAGGTGAGTTAGTCAGGGGCCTCGGGACACGACAGTAGACCTTGGTATCATCCGCGAACATCCTGGCCAGGCTTCACACTTGTTCTGGCAGATCGCTCACGAAAATTATGAACAGCGTTGGTCCAAGCACTGATATTTGCGGGATGTCGCTGACGACGTCGGTCCAGTCCGACTTCGAGCCCTGGACTCACACTCTCTGCATCCGGTGGGCAAAAATTCCTGATCCAGCGTAGCAAATTACCTCTCACAGCGTAAGCATGACGCTTGGAGAGCAGACGGTTATGAGGCACAGAATCAAAGGCTTTGCTGAAGTCCAGGTAGGCCATGTCCACCGGCTCTCCATCATCTACCGCAGCCTCTGTAATCTTCCATGACCTCTATAGCTGGGTATTCAGGACCGCTTAGAGAGAGAACCCATGCTGGGTTGCATGAAGAAGTCCAGACTCCGAGACGTGATTAAGAAGGGCATCACGGACGAAAGTTTCGAGTATCTTGGAAGGGAATGGCAGTGAGGCTCACTGGACGGTAGCTCGCTGGAGATGTCCGGTTACCCTTCTTAAAATCGGGACTACCTCGCCAAGCTCCCACTCGTGGGGGAGCCTTCCGGATGCCAAAGATTTTCGGAAAAGCATGCTGAGGAGCGCTGCCAGGGCATCTGCGGACTCGCGAAGGAGCCTTGGGTGGACATGGTCTGGCCCAGGGGCGCTCGAGGTCTCCAGAGCAGCCAATTCATTTGCCACTGCCTAGGTAGAGATATCCACGCCGTCCAGAAAAGGTCCAGTAAAGTTGCACGACAACACAGGCATGGCACTAGCCCCTTCGTCCGTGAAAACACTGGCGAAGAATTTACAGAGGACATAGGCCTTCCCTTCGTTACTGCTGGTCAACACTCCATCATCGTCAAGGAGGTCTTCTACCCTGCATCTTGTACGTAGTCTTGAGTTGGCGTACCTCCAAAAGGCCTTGGGGTTTCTTTTGAGGTCCGCTTCTAATTTCATCTCATACTCTTTCCGAAGGTACCTGGTTAACTCCCGAAGGTCATTGCGACATCGCACAAACCTGGCATGGTCCAGAACGTCCTGAGTCCGCCGTGTACGTACGCCATAGTCTTTCCTTGGTTTTCTTTAGCTGCGTGGCCCTTGGGTTCATGCGCAAGTTCTTCTTAGGTTTAGTCCTTCTCTTGACGGAGCAAACTTCAGTAGCCCTGGCGATTCTCCCCTTTAAGAACTTGTAAGCATCTTCGAGGCTGAGGTTCTCCATCAGGGACCAGTTCATTAACCTGAGGGTGTCAGCCAGATGCTCGTAATTCGTGTGTGTCAGCTGGCCGGGACGAGGAGTTTCCAGCCCCGAGTAGCAGACCAAGGTGTACCTGATTATCACATTGTCACTGTTACCTAGCCCAGGCAGGTATTCGATTTGGCTCACCATGCCCTCCTCGTTTGTGAAAATGAGATCGAGAACGCTAGGCGCTTCGCCAACCCGGGAGCGTGTTGGCTACTGGACATGCTGGAACAAAAGACACCCCTGGATGGTGTCTATCAGTGAGTGGGTTAGGTGACTCCCTGGAGCTGATGACTGCTCTGTTGCCCAGTCAATCTGAGGCAAGTTAAAGACACCTACCACCATCAAGTGAGAAAACTGAGCTCTGCATACTCTCTGAATAAGGTCTTCCGCTTGGTCCACACTGTCTTGGATGTTGCCTGATGGACTTCTGTATATGCAGCCAAGTAACAGGGCGTTGTTCCCACTCAGGGGCATTTTCAGCCACACCTACTCCAGAGGAATTGACCCAAATGAGTGTTCAGCTGTAATTAGTAAGTTGAACACATAGACACAAATGCCTCTCCTACCACTAGATCCGAGGTTGGGCAGAGATAGATTAAAGTTATTGTACAGGGTGTACCCGGAAATCGATAGGAGAGACGGTGCAATAGGAAGCTTCTGGGCATTGGGGAGGGCTTCGGTCAACAGCATGATATCTGCCTTATGGTCAGAAATAAGCATACATAAATCATCCCTTTTACTAAGGAACTGGTCTGCATTCGTGCACAATACCTTCAGACCTTGCATTACCCCTGCACTGAGGAGCATTATGTAGTCATTGTGGACCTATGGAGCCAGCATCATCCCTGAGCCTGAGTGTGTTTATGCATGGATGCATCCTGAGTGACTGAGGTCACTGTGGTGCTATCAGTCCTGTCAGGGCCCCTAGAACCCCAAGGGCCCTTAGTGAGGTGACCCTCAACACCCCCACCAGCAGGGCCTAATAAGGGGGGGGGGGGTGCATCCTGCTTGAGTGCCCCTGGTGTTTTCACTTGGGCTCGTTGTAGTTGGTCCAGAGGCAAGCGGAAGAATCATGCTGGTGCCTCTGAGACCACCAGATGGGCAGCCTGCTGGAGTTGATGATATTTCATCCCTTTGCAGGGTAGCTGGAGCTGCCGCTGGTACAGTAGAGTGCACCATACTGGTACCTCTGGGTCCATCAGCCACTTGTGACAATGGGGCACTCTGCTTGATGATCTTGCCCTGCATGATCAGCTCACCTGCCTCCCTTCTTCTGAAGATTGTCTCTCGGCTTCTTATCCTCCTCCCTCTCTTTGCCGGTTCTGTCCTGGGAAATGAATAACCTATTCCATTTGCTACTATGCCGCAGGTGCGGGGCAAGCTTCAGGAGCTCAGCTCTGGTCTTTCTGTTTTCAAGTGTCGCTATCATCAGCCTATGCTTACCTGGAAGCTTCTTCGTTCACAACATAATCGTTCGTTCGTTCGTTCGTACCGAACATATCACACAATCGTTCGTAACATAATCGTTCACAACAAAATAAAAATGGGTGGCACCAGTGTGCTGCCAAAAAAGCGCCGTAACGTTTTCTGTTACCGTTGTATAAGCGTGGAAGCGGTGATTAAGTGAGTGCCATCGCACCCACGGATGTCGATTTGTATTACTCTGAGTGGCCCACTGGTCCGCGCCATGTCCAGCTTGCCCCTCCACGAAGGGAGCTTTAAGTTATCTCGATTTTGACGAAGGTTTCCTGTACCCAATTGTCTCACAGATAACGCAAGGAAAAAGTAAGCTGTGGTGTGACATCCAGCCGAGTGTAACTGAATGAACTCATCACACTTAGAGATCCGAGTTTGTACCGTGTTTGCTTCAATATTTCCTGCGCTTTCTGCAAGTGGGATGTTTTTAAGAACATGATGTATATTTTCTTGTTGGCTCCGGTTTAGTTTCGTGTTATTTTCTGAGTGTTTTGTCATTATTCAGTGATGTTGCAACTTGTACAGATTGCAACAAGCTGCGTTATTCTGCGGCAATGGCTTGATGGCTTGAAACGGCTCGAAAATCGGAAAATGAAAACATCAGACGAATATTAGCACCCAAATACGTAACGTATTTACTGGTCGTCTACGTTAGGAAGAATGAAATGAACTGAAATATGCCGGCGTCGACTTCGATGTGAATGTTCAGTGGAGCGGTTGCGGAATCTGACGATCGAACCAGTCAACTAAACCGACAGCAGTAATCGTCCGACAGTGACCACTAAAACAACGCTAGCCATGTCGAATATGCCTAACGTGAGTGCTGCGTGACAGCCTTCAGCCCACCGTGCGGCTGCTGGCCGGGGGTTTCTGTGGTAGCCTTTAAAAGTCACGCGTATCAATTGGCACTCTTTATTCCTTAACACGCAAACGTCCAACAGCGCTGCAGCCACATAATAGGAGCCGTTTGTCGATGACTGAAACTTGACTGAAGCTGCAGTACCATGTGATATCACAATCGTTCCTGGTGACAATTTTTCCTCCAGAAATTTGGTTGGCGACAAGAAGTACACTTTTGCTACCCCACCGTTAATGTAGCAGTGTCTGGCTGCTGCGCGCATTCTGCGGCGTCGACGGTTGCCGTCCACCGCCCGCACCGGTCGCAGATGGCCGCGCAGTGTTCGTCAAAATCTCTCCGCACTCGCACCAGAAAAGCTAGGAATGCATTTTTTGTATCAAAACACGCGCAATTGATGCCCCATAGACTGCTTAACCGGTGCTCGGCCAGGGGGTTAATTTCTCCCTGCGGTTTCTCGGGTACAGCCTAAAAAT